AAATATCCGTTAATCATTACTGTCTGTTTTGTATTACTCAGCCAATATTATATCTGCACTGTCACTTGTTTGTTTTATTCCATGACCAATCACCTTCATCACAAGTCTGTTGTGTAGAACTTTATTAAATGCCTTTTTGAAATCCATGTGCACCACATCAACACCCTTGACTTATCAACACTCTTTGTTATCACTTCAAAAAGCTCCAGCATGTTAATTAGACATAGGTTTCTCTTAACAAATACATGTTGACTCTTCTGAATTAATACATATTTTTCCATGTGACTGTTAATTCCATTCTGAATAATTGTAGCTAGAAGTTTCACCATTACCAAAGTTAAACTGACTGGTCTGCAACTTTTGGCTCGATCTTGCCCCCTTTTTTTTTGAAAAATTGCAATTCTCTCGTCCTCTGGCACCAACTTGAATCTAGGGATGATTGAAAGATTATTGCCAGTGCCTCTGTAATTTGCACTCTCACTTTCTTCAATATCCTTAGATGCATCTCACCCAGCTTCAGTGCCTTAACAACTTTATGGATTGGCGGCTGTTTCAATATCCCCTCCTTTTCAATTTTAAGTCCTTCTAATTCACTAAGTTTTCTTTTCTGCCACAATGGCATGGGCAGTATCTGTCTTGTAAATAAAAACACAAACAAATCATTCATTGAACATCTTGGCCCTGAATATGTAAATCCTGTTCTTGGCATCTAATCACCCCTGCTCCTCCTTTTACTAACAAAATGCTTATAGGAGACTTTGGGATATTAATTAACATTATATGTTAGTTGTTAATATTTTTTATAATCCCTCTTTGCTTCTCTTATTTATCATATCCCTTCCGAGTCTTTTGTAATCAGCTCAGTTCTCAATTGTACTTACTACGTGACACCTGTCATGAGTTTTTTTCTTCTCTAACTTAATTTCTCTTTACTTTGTCTTTTAAGGACATCTGGATTTGTTTATCTTACCTTTCTCTTTTGAGGGAATACACCTCAACTGTGGCCACAATATCTCCTCTTTGAAGATAATCTCATGTTCTGTTGCTATTTTACTGCTAACCTTTAGGTCCAGTCTATCCAGCACAACTCCATTGCAGTCAGCTTGCCACCAATTTTGCTCAGGATTGAACAGTGTAAATTTCCACTGTCATCCTAAACCTTACAGCAGCATACAATAAAGGAGTAGAATTAGGCCATTTGGCCCATCAAGTTACTCCACCATTTGATCATCGCTGTTTCTCAATCCTATTCTCCTGCCTTTTCCCTTAACCCTTCATCCCCTCACTCATCAAGAATCTGTCTAACTCTTTAAGACAATGATCACTATTCCCTAAATATGCTGCCAATGTCACTTGGCCGACTTGGCCCACCTCATTTCCGAGAACCAGGTCTAGCAACTGCCTCTTTTCTTGAGGATTGGATGCATTCCATTGTAGGAAATTCCCCCAAATACAGTGTAGAAATGTCTGTCCCTCATTGGTCTTTATCACATTCCTACATACGATAATCAAAGTCCTCCATGGTAACTATTCTATAATATTTATGCCCCTCTGATGTTTCCTTGCAGATTAGTTCCTCTACATTGCTCCCTCTATATCCTACTTCATCATGATGGAGAAAATTGACAGTCCACACGTATAAAGGTAGTTTTTTTAGGGCTGGAAAAGCCCTGAAAGAGTCTCTGAATTTTAGAAGAATAAGAAGTAATCTCTATCCTAGTTTCTGTGTTTCTATAAAAACTTCTGAAAGAGATAGACAGATATCATGCAGGGACAATGTTTTCACTGGCTATGGGGTCTAGTGTTGGGGGGCAGTCTCAGAATAAAACGCAAATCATTTTCGATTGAGAGGAGAAGACTGACAAGCCTTCATTCAGAGACTGGTAAATCAATGGGATTCTCTGTCCCAGAAGGCTCTGGAAGTTCAGTCATTGTGTAAGTTCAAGTCAGAGATTGAGAGATTTCTAGTTACAAATTGTATGGGAATATAGCACTGAGGTAGATGATCAGCCATGATCTTGAATGGCAGAAGAAGCTCAAGGAGCTGAAAGGCTTACTACTGCTCCAATGTTCCAATGTCTAAGTTTTTCAAGCACCGGAATTTATGAATTTATGACTTGAAGATGGAAGTGCTCATCAAATCCAACATACGGCTGCTCCAACCTATTGCCACCGACCTGGATAAAACATTCCCGGGTTAGGAGGATTGCTGGGCACCTGTCTTTGAGCCTATTGAAATCCTCAAGCAGGCACCTGAGGGCATCATTCTGCCTTGCTACTATGTTATTGATGGCATGGGGAGGCTTATGCCAAGCGGGTAACCCAACAGCTTTACCTATGTGTGGTGGTGTTGAGCACATGGAACCTCCCTTGCAGGTCCTATCTGTCCATAAGAGGCACCATGCCCTGCCCCTGAGATCATACTACCCCATTCATCCTTTCCTCGTGCCTCTAAAACCCAACTTTCACAGCTTCACTAGGGCCTAGATGGATTGACCAATGCAAAATACTTTGCTGTCTGATTCAAACGATGATCTTAACTGGGGGCTCCACTTAATCTGAGCAGTGTGTCCCCATTCCTGCCTGATACTGAAGGAACTGCTTCCAAGTGGTAGGCAGTTCCTCGAGGCTAGACTACACATACCTCAGGAGTAGAAATCTTGCCTTCAGCCTATTAGTGGTCTGTTAGGTAACGGCATGTTGCTGTCCTTCCCGTGGGATAACTGCTCACTAACCTTTAAGCTGGGGGCAGGGTCTGCAAGGGACTATTCAGTGATGCTAAAAGTTTAAAGGATTTTTCATCTGAATACTGACTTCTATTTGTGTGCAGTCTGGGGTGCTGTGGAAAGTGCATCCTATGTTATAGTCTACAATGACTGACAATACCTTGGTTTCTGTGCACGTGTGGATTGCAGAAGTGGCTCTCTGTTATGGGGAAGTAACAATGGTGAACGTTGACAACTTCAGTGCCATTACGACTTCAAAATCCAAACTATTTGTTTTTGAAAATGAAAAATGAGTTGGTTGATCACAAGTTTATAACAAACACATGGATTTTTAACTGGCTGGGTTGGGGAAGAATTGCAATAATTTTAACCTTACCTGCCTGGCAGAAAACTGATGGAGTCAGATTATCATTTTTTATTGCGTCTTTTCAAGGGGGCGGCATGGTAATTCAGTGGTAAGCATTGCTGCCTCACAGCACCAGGAACTCGGGTTCAATTCCAGCCTTGTACGATTGTCTGTGTGGAGTCTGCTTGTGGTTGCATGGGTTTTCCCCAGGTCTCCTGCTCTGGTTTCCTCCCACAGTCCAAGAATGTGCAGGTTATGTGGACTGGCTGTAGGAAACATAGGATTACAGGAATAGAGTCGGGGGGTGTGGGGGGTTGATCTGGGTGGAATGCTCTTTGGAGGGCAAGTGTGGCCTTGATGGGCTGAACGGCCTGCTTCTATACTGTAGGGGTTCTATGATTCTATGAAGTTAGTCAGAATTAGCCAGTTTTATCTAATTTTGGACAATTTTATTAAAATTAAGTGTTGTCTCCCTTCTCTTTCTCCAGATTGGAACTTGAACATTGGGCATGTAGGCAACACTTTGAAGTTTGAAGCTCTCTTGGCAATTTATTACACTGGGTCAGGCCCAGATTTATCTCATTGTGATCTGAATCTATGCATAAGGTAGTTTGTCTGGATCAGTGAGCTATCTTTACTTCAATCTAGGCACCAATAGAATCCACCCACAAGTTTGTTCTTGACACTTTCAAAGATCATTCTCACTGTTACATCAAACTGAAAATGTGGAGGCATCATCACCACAGTAGCTAAACTTTACAACCTGTTTTTAATCCTGCAAGTACAGTGGAAACAACCACTGTAATTATTTCTTAGGAACTGTATCCACAAAATTATGTCATCTCAATACAGTCAAAATACCAAATAAAGAAGTATAAATTTTTCATAATTTCTACAATAAAACATTTTGTGAGAAAATTTCAGTCATCTATCTAGTTAAGTTTATACTGCAGCATGTCAAACCTTCATGCTTGATTTTCTTTTTGATTCTTTAACTGTAGATATTCTTTCAATATTATTTAAATTATGTATCATATGCCTCTTTGAAATATTCAAAAAATATCTTAATTAAAGCATTCAGGGTTGATAATTTGATAACAAACACACTGACAATTCTCTGACAGAGAGATTTTCACAAGAAGGGTCAGCTAGCTCAGTTTCTTATGATGTCATTGGTAGCTGAATTATTCAGAAGGGGTCATAACTTTAATTTTATCAGTGTCAGCGATGAATTTTGATTTGTTCCAGTTCTTTCTCTTGTTTTCCTGAAAGCTGCGACTTGTGTTGGGTGTAGGCTTCAAACGCAAGCACCAGTTGTCCTATTTCTCGGCTAAGTGACTACTGCTGATGTGAGAGATGCATAACTGAGTCTCGGCAGAGGATTCATTCACAGGGACATGAAAACCGAGCTCGATTCTGTTCTCATCCAGAATCTGCACACAGTCACGCGTGGCAATTGTGGCCTGGCATCCTAGGGGATCCTCCCTGAACAAACCCAACTGTCAAATTCCAACAGCAGTTTTGGCTGAGCTCAACCAGTTCAGTACGGACCACAGATATAACCTGAGGACCTTTTCGACCATCATGGCTCAGCGCCCGAGGATACGAAATACTCACCTACTGAGTCACCGCTGTAGATGAGCAAAGTCTTCCACGCAAATTAGGAACTATTATTAAAGCTGCGAGTCTGATATAAATGCTCCCCGTTGGTCAATTTTCAGAAGTTCTGACAAAAAGTTTAGTATGTGTAAACAGGCGAGAAGCAGAATGATTGTGAAATATCATTTTGTCAAAAGCAATACTATCTAATAAAGTCTGAAACAGGCTGAAAGAAGGAAGCGTTACTTCTGAAGTTGAACCAGCACACACGTCAAGCAGCGAGATCCACAGGCAGCACACGCATGAAAGAGAAAATACATATGACTTACATTACGCAGATAAAACATTGTTAAATTTTGAATCAGTCGTCATCATCGAATAATGTAAAAATGTAGGTAGAACAACTTGGTTAAGTCATCAGACGGAAGAATAATTTTCTCCAATTGCATCTGCTTCTTTTTGCATAGTTATTTAATTACAGCTTCATAGCAACCTGCTGGCATCTGGCTTATGGTTCTACTGTGAAATATATAGGGATGGTTCCAATTACACTGTTTTCTGTCCTAATCCAGAAACCAGACTACTGTACTGAAGCTGCCGTGGCTCACAGCAGTTGCAAATGTATTTTTTTAATGGTATATAGGTGGGTGCCAAAGAAGGCTATTTGTTTCTCCTTTACAGTTTCCTGCCAATAGGTTGCTACAGGCAGTGGGGGTAATATTTCAGCAGTGCGCTGTTTGCGTACTCGTGCTGCTGATCACCGCTCTCTTGCTCCTTGGCAATCACCAGACTAGGACACAGGGGAAGAGCAGAATCAGCAGCATGAGCACGGAAACTGGAACAGATCCACATTGCAAAAATATGAAAAACTTCAAAATGGATCAAGTTGGGAAAAACACTCCTAATTTTGAGGCAAGATTCTATAGCTCCCACTAGTGTTCCAGAATGCAATAATATTTCAATTTTAATGTTTTGGTTTAGGTGTATCAATGCGTTTACCGAGCCTTAAAACACAGGACATTATTTGGCCCATCAAGCATGCGCATTATGTCCCTTTGAAAGAGTCCCACACATTCCCTTTCTCCCAACAGAGCTGTAAGCTTTCTCGGCCTTTGAAAGCCAAACTAATTTCCTTTAAAAACTTACGATTGACTCTCCTTTCTCCGCCCTCTCAGCCAACACACTTCTGCTGATAACAGCAGTAGGGAAAGTGTCTTCTCCTCTCCACGCTGGATCTTATGCCAAAATATCTTAAAATTGTGTCATCTAGTTATTAACACACTGTTCCACCCCCAACCTCACACCATACCGTCCCCCTCAACTGCTGACCCCCTGCCTGTGGGAACAGTTTTTCTCTCTCAGTGTCTGAAAAGTTACAAAGTATTTTTCTGCTCTTCCTCTGCAGAGAGTGATTTCATACCAATTTGTGGTGCTTTGCCATATTCCTGTTTCATTTTCACAGTGAATGTTGGTCTACATCATCTTGTTGGTCTGCTCTGATGTTATTAGGCATGGGAACCCTGTAGTTTGCGTTATTTTTTTCTGTTCCTGTCTTACCTTAGGGATTAAAGTGTGTCATGTTCCAGTACATTACAAACTTCTGTTCATAACTTTTAAAATTTATATGTAAAGAAAGGTATTGAGATGGCGGCAGTAAATCATGCGATTTTTGGTATTTTGAGCTACAGACAGACCGGAGTCTCATCAAATACCTAATTTATAAGGACATTTACAGTCATCTAAGGAACTCCCACATCCCTTTGTTCAAGCATAAATCATCAAAGAAAATTATATAATTCCAGCCGGTATGTCTCTGCTTCATTCTGGAAAAAGGAAACGTCAAATCTTAATGTAGGTAGGATAAATATGAATGGAATCTGTGGACCTTATATTGTATTATGATGGTTTCCTCTTCCATATTTTGACTGAGTGAATCTCAAAGTGTCAACACCAACACAGGGGACTAATGTAGTGGAAATGCCATTGGACCTGGAATCCAGAACCCCAAGCTCATGTTTTGGGGAGATGAATTTGAATCCCATCAGGGCAGACAGTGCAGTTTGAATTCAATAAAAGTTCTGGAATAGAAAGCCATAAGGCCTTTTCCTCATCACTTATCTTCCTTTAGGGAAAGATAAGTGCCATCCTTACCTGGCCATTCTCCAGATCCTCAGCAGTGTTGCTGACTCTTAACTGCCCTTTGGGCAATGAGGGTTGGGCATTCAATGAGATCATGGCTGATATGATAATCCTCAACTCCACTTTCCTGCATTTTCTCCATAACTCTTGATTCCCTGATTAATTAAAAATCTGTCTATCTCTGACTTGAACATACTCAGCATCCCAGCCTCAACAACCCTTTAGGGTAATGAATTCCACAGCTTCGTAATCCTCTGAGAAAAGAAATTCCTCCTCATCTCTGTCTTTAATGTGTGACTCCTTATTTTCAGATTATGCCCTTTGGCCCTAGACTCTCCCACAAGGGAGATCACTTCTCATTCTTCTAAATTCCAATGAGTATCGACTCAACCTACTCAATCTCTCCTTAAAAGACAATCCTTCCATACCTGGGATCAGCCTTGTGAACCTTCTCTGGAGTGCCTCCAATACCAGTATATCCTTCCTTTGATAAGGGGCCCAAACTGTTTGCCCTATTCCAACTGTGGTCTCACTAGTGACTTTTATAGTTTTAACAAAACCTCTCTTCCTTTATACTCCATTCCCTTTGAAATAAATGCCAACATTCAGTTCACCTTCCCTATTACCTGCTAAGCTTGGTTGCTAATTTTTTTTGTGATTCACCGATGAGGACTCCTAAATCCTTTTGTTCTGTTGCTTTCTGCAGTCTTTCTCCATTTAAATAATAATCAGTTCCTCAATTCTCCCTGCTAAAGCCCAAAAACCTGACATTTTCCCATATCATATTCTATCTGTCAAGTTTTTGCCCACTCGCCTAACGTGTCTATATTCCACCCAACGTGTCTATATTCCCTTTGCAGATGTTTGTGTTACCCTCATCACTTGCTTTTCCACTTATTTTTGTGTCATCCACAAACATGGCTATAGTACATTCACTTTCTTCATCCAAGTCATGCATAAAATTTGTAAATAATATTGGCCTAGCATTGACCCCTGTTGTTCTCTACTGGTTACATTCTGAAAATGCCCCCCTTATCCCAACTCTTTGTCTTCAATTGGTTAGCCAATAATCTAACCATGCGAATATACTACCTCAACACCATGGGCTATTATCTTAATAAGTATCCAAATGCGTGGTACCTCATCAAATATCTTCTAAAAATCCAAATATATTAAATCCATTACTTCCCCTTCATCTATCCTGCTTATTACCACCTCAGAATGTTCTAGTAAATTTCTCAGACATGATTTCTCCTTCATGAAGCCATGCTAACTTTCCTAGATGTTCAACCTGTTCTAACATTGAATGCACCTGAGAACCAGCCTCCTGGTAGTTAAATTAAAGGAACCCCACAGCTTATTGAGAATGCTCCACTACTGAATTCCACTTCATCTTTAACTCAACAACTTCTTCTAACAGACCACAGGGAAGATGAATTGAATATAAAGGTAGAGAGGTTATGCTGTATACAGGGCATTAGTGTGACCACATCTAGAGTACTGTTTATAATATTGGTCTCCTTATTTAAGGAATGATGTAAATGTGTTGGAACCAGTTCAGAGAGGATTTACAAGATGAATACCTGAATAGGTGCATTGTTTTATGAGGAAAATTTGGACAGGATAGGCTTGTATCTGCTGGAGTTCAAAAGAATAAAAGGCAACTTGTTTGAAGTAGTTAAGATCTTGAGGGGGTTGTAACAAGGTGGGTACAGAATGGATGTTTTCCCTTGTTGGAAAATCTAGAACTAAGGGCCACTGTTTAAAAGTGAAGGGTCGTCCATTTAAGACAGAGATGAAGCAATTTTTTCAGATAGAGAATGGTGAGTGCTCAGAACTCTCTTCCTCAAAAGATTGTGGAAACAGAGTCTTTGAATATTTTCAAGACAAAGCTAGATAGGTTCTTGATAAGTGAGGGGGTAAAGGGTTATTGGGTTTGGCAGGAATACAGAGCAATGAGATCAGCCATGATGTTGTTGAATGGTTGATCAGACTGAGGGGTTGATAGCCTATTCCCACATGTAACTCATACTTTCATTTGCATATTTGTATGTTATGCCTGCCAAAACGGAAATTGAAATAGTTATAGCTTTAACTATTTTGTTTACCTTTAAATGTATCTAATCTCTGTGTTTGTGAGTGTGAGGGTGTGAGACAAGTGAGTGAGGCTATGCATTTTAAAATTGGGGGCAAGTGATACCTCTCTTAATTTTTAAATTCATAAAAATCATTGCTGCTGGCATTATTTAATTTGGATACGCGCTCTGAGGGTAATAAAATTTATACCTTATACTGAACAACGTATTGTTAATGTGCAGTAAGAAAATTAACACAAAATCTGTTCTTCACAAAACTGATTCAGTATCTTAACCTCAAGAATTTTCTGACCTACATTCATTCTAGTATTTCCTGCAACTATTGATTTAGCTGATAATATTTTGAAATTAGAAACTTTCAGGTTTTTGGCCAAAGAATGTTCTTTTAACACAGTACTTTATAAAGCTTCTGTTTTTCCCTGGTCTAGGGTATAGCAATTACGAAAAAGCAAAGTTATAAATTATAATAGAATTTAACTTTGTAATAGAATTTACAATTTATTATACACAGCATTAAAAATAAAAGTATGTAAAGGGTTGTACAATCCATTATTGAGAAGTCAATATGTTTATGAACATGCCAACCACTTAAAGGTGCATTTCACCATTTTGGAGATGGGTTGGACCCAGAACAGGTTTAGGGCCCAGAGATATGCTTAGAACATTGTAGCTTCATCAAATGATAGCAACAGCATATTTATAGCACATTTATAACACAAGTGTGCTGGTGTGACGTGAGAACATTTGGTGTTAGATGTTTATGAATAGCATGTGTAATAATTTATAAGGCATTATAACATCCTTTCAAAAATAACTGACCATGACAGTGAAATAAATGACAATGGCTTTGTTCTGAATCCTTCGATTTACATTGTGTTTGCTGCCCTGTGGTGTAAACTGTGTTTACATAGTAAATTATGCTACCTTTACATGCACATGGGAACAGAAATAAAACATTCAACACCTTGAGCTGTTCCACCATTTAATTATTGTAAATAATGGTTAATCTGTACCTCAGCTCAATTAACTTATTTTTGTTCTGAATCCTTTGATATCCTGACCCAACAGAAATTTCTTGATCTCAATAATGAAAACTTAAAATGAATCCAACATCAACGGCTTTTCTAATAACTGTGCTCTTATTCGGTTAACTATATGCAGGTGCAGGGCATAGTTTGGGTTGTTACTACAGCAGAACTAAGAATACACTTATTGGTATTAGATAAGGGTTGAATTAGGCGATTATGCCAGTACTGAAGGGCTCTTGTGGTACAGTGGTAGTGTTCTTACCGCTGGGCTAGGTTAGCCTAGGTTCAAGTCCTACCTGCTCCAGAGGTGTATCAGAGCAGTTTGATTGAAGTAACTAAGTTGGTACTGGGAATGCTTATCTCTGGGAATAAATTTAAACTGAGTGAAGATTCACTCTGGTTTCATCCCTCCTCAGCTGGCTATCAGGATCTGAATACTGGAGGGGAAGATTTCCAAATCTCAATATTATTGTGTGAAAAAAAGGCTT